GGGCCTGTCTCCCATCCATCATTATCGCTTCTCTCAGCTTTAACCTTGACATCCAAAACACATCAAAGTGTCCAAGTCCAGGATGCTTACTGCCTTCAAGCCTTTGTTTATGCTGTCCCCTCTCCCTGGAATACCTTCCCATCACCAGTCATTTCCTCAATTTGACCAAATTCTTGGTGATCTAATCAGCATCTCTTCCCAGATGATTCTCCCCATTGTAGGTTGAACTGGGTACCAATTCTATATCCAGATTCTGTCTCTACTGCACATTTCTCCATTTTACTCTATGGTCCTTGTAATACTCTTACAAAAGTTCTTCTCATTATTCCCTCTTGGTTGTCCACCAACTCCTAGTTTCCACGTCCTCCACAGGCACTGCCTAACGTATAGACCCAGCGACTATCAAGCAGCATGAGAGTGTAACTCATGTCACAATTGTTAACATAACTCAGAGAAATGTTAAGGTAACTGAAACGTCTGCTCTCTCCCTGCAGGTAAAGAGAGCTACTGATAACTACAACTTAGGGATTGCCCTTGAGCACAGAAAGGAAATGTTAAACCTCTGGCGGAAGATCCGAGGGGACCTGGTTGGAATAGAAACTAATAATGAATCCTTTTATGACACCTTCTCTACTTACACATGGTCCTGGAATGTTTGCCAGGAGTTGCTTTCTGCTAAGGACCTACGGTTACATGATGCCTACGTCAACAGAACCTCCTTCCGCCACTCTGGCTCCTTCTCCTCGACAGATATCAGCGAACGTGACCCAGAGACAGGAAGAAAAAGAAAAAGGAAAAGTTTCAAAGGATTTCCACAATGAAGTTTCTACATTTTCTAGACAGTTCATCGTAAACTACTTTTTCATAGTTATCAAAATTATGCTTTCTTGATTTTGTCTAGTGCATTCTTTGCAGCTGAAAATTTTGACATCATTTGGATTCTGATCAGTAAAAAAAAAAAAATAATAAGTCATAAAATGGTTTTCTTTTTTTCTAAATCTGTGCTAGTACATAGGTGTTTCATTCTCAGTTCCCCGACAGCCGGCTGCCTTCTGCTGCCCCCAGCTGGCTTTAAACCGCCTGAGCCTCAGGCAGAAGCAGACCAGTGCTGAGCTCAGGACACTGCAAGCCACAAGGCTTTAGTGACTGCAAAAGGGAGGAGGCCAGCGATGACTGATGAATAGGCCCTTTCATTTTCAGAACAGTATCACCAGCACCCCGGGAACCTTGGCCAGTGTGGGTGCTCCAAGGCTCCTTGGCCCCACACCTCACTCCACCGATTGCTTGGATTACTCTAAAATCGCTGATATCACCCACTCTACTTGTTGCTGTACTTCAATGCATTTAGCACAGAGGCACACACAAATGGGGCCAGTGCTATGGCGCCATACGGATGCTGCTGATTCGAGACCAGCAGCTCTAATTCTGATCCAGTTCCATGCCAATGGTGGCATGGGAAAACTGGAGAATACCTAAGGTGCTTGGGCTCCTGCATCCCAGGGCAGACCTGGTTGAAGCTGCTGGCTCATGGCTGCAGCCTGGCCCAGTGGGTATTGCAGCCATTCGGGGAGTGAACTAGCAGATAGAAGATCCCTCTCTTCCTCTCTCTGTGCAACTCTGCCATTCAAGTAAATAAATAAATAAATCTTGAAAATCACACACATATTATTATATCTCAAGTTGCGGGGTTTTTTTATTAGTTGTGGTAAGATATGCGGGTACTTCAAGAAGTCCATGGAAATAGGATTAAGAGAAGCTTATTTGGGTAGAAAACACATAAAACCTATGAGTAGTTTTTTTTTTTTAATATGCATGCTCCATGGGGCTGGCATGGTAACTCAACAGGCTAATCCTCCACCTGCAGTGTCTGCATCCCATATGGGTGCCAGTTTGAATCCTGGCTGCTTCATTTCCAATCCAACTGCCAGCCGATGGCCTGGGAAAGCAGGGGAGAATGGCTGAAGACCTTGTGCCCCTGCACCCATGTGGGAGACCCAGAAGCAGCTTTTTGCTCCCAGCTTTGGACCAATCTGCACTAGCCATTGCAGTCATTTGGGGAGTTAGCCTGTAGATAAAGGTCACCCCAACTCTCTCTCATTCTCATAAATCTGCCTCTCAAAAATTTATGTTAAAAGTTTTAAAATAATGCATATTTCATGAGCCCTTTGAAGATCCCTCACATGCATGGACTTCAAAATGGCTTGCACCAAAATAAACTTATTTTTAATTATACTTTCCATGAACTTTTTGAAGAATCCTCATACACATTACATAGTTTCCTATTTTAATCATATTTAAGTATGTATCAGCCGGAACATTTTGATTCTTCCCAGCTTTACCTTGATGTTCTTAGGGCATTTTTCTGTAGTTACAGTTGATCACAGGAAGGTCACTTTTAGGAAATCCAAATCTATGAAACTGAAGTCCACATTAACCTATAGTCAGAATGGCAAAGTGTTTTACCTCCAGTGTCAATACTAATCTAAAATGTCTGGGCTAGGGGCCAATAAATGGCTCAATTGGCTATTACTCTGCCTCCAAGCACTGTCCACCGTGTCCACCACATGGACACGGGTTTGTGTCCTGGCCACTCCACTTTCTGTCCAGCTCCCTGCTTGTGGTGTGGGAGATGGCCCAAAGCTTTTGGACCCTGAACCAACACAGGAGACCCAGAAGAGGTTTCTGGCTCCTGGCTTCAGCTCAGCTCAGCTCTGACTGTTGCAGCCATTTGTGGGGTGAAGCAACAGGTGGAAGATCTTTCTGTCTCCTTCTCTCTATAAATCTGATCTGCCTTTCCAATGAAAATAAATAAATCTTTAAAAAATCAAAATAGTTGCCATTCTTTACAAAGTTATAGTGTTGCAGAAAAGAACCTTATAAATGAGCAATCATATTTTCTAATCTGAAATCAAAAATGTTTTAGGGTCCAGTGCAATGGCTTAATACTTAAATCCTCACCTTGAACGTGCCAGGATCCCATGTGGGTGCCGGTTCTAATCCCTGCAGTTCCACTTCTCATCCAGCTCCCTGCTTGTGGCCTGGGAAAGCAGCAAAGGATGGCCCAAAGCCTTGGGACCCAGCATCCATGTGGAGAATGAATCAGTGGATGGAAGATCTTTCTCTATCTTCTCTCTGTAAATCTGCCTTTCCAATAAAAATAAATATAAAAAATAAAAAAAATAATGGTTTGACATGAGAGGGGATTTTTGGATAGCTATAGGTATAATAGGAATGTAAGTGTCATAATTTGGTGTCAAAACATTAGAATTCTTAGACTATTGCTTGTATCAGTGAGATGACAAGTCAGAATGTTTTTAAGCAGATCTGTCCTGGGAAATCTAAGAGACACAGCAATACCGTCTTTCCTTTAAATTGTCACACGTCATCATTGACAGTTATCAACGGGTGTATCTCTGCTGAACTCAGTACAGCAATAACAATTCTCTTCCGTCACTACTTACTGGGTGCCATGTTGTGTGCCAGACGCTGTTCTAGGACCTGAACATGTAACGGCTAACAGGTAGCATGTCATGGCATCACAGAGCCTAGTAATGGAACTAATTATCACCATTGACTCAGCAATTCCACCTCCAGAAATTAATCCTTAAGAAGTACTCATAAATGTAGGCCTGCCATGGTAGCCTAGTGGCTAAAGTCCTTGCCTTGTACATACTGGGATCTCATAATAGCACCGGTTTGTTTCCCAGCTGTCCTGCCTCCCATCCAGCTCCCTGTTTGTGGCCTGGGAAAGCAGTTGAGGATGGTCCAAAGTCTTGTGACCCTGCACCTGCATGTGAGACCAGGAAGAAGCTCCAGGCTCCTGGCTTTGGATTGGCGCAGCTCTGGCCATTGCAGCCAACTTGGGGAGTGAATCATGGTACAGATCTTTCTGTCTCTCCTCCTTTCTCTGTATATACCTGACTTTCCCATAAAAATTAATAAATCTTTAAAAATATCGTAAATGTACAAAATGGTTTCATTATAAGGGTGTGCATCATGTTAAATTTTTATTAGTGACAAACTTAAAAGTAGCCTATATGTCCAATGAATCATTTGACAGCTATGTAAACCAGTACCACAGGTAATTAAAATGATATATAGATTTCAAACAAAGAAATAATACTGCCAGGCTATTAAAAAATAAACTACTAAGAGGTGTGAGGGAACTTTCTGTGGGTGCTCTAGAACTTGGTTACAAATGCTCATACGTACACATTTTAAAGAGAGAAGGTGAGACAGATCTTCCATCTGCTGATCCTCCCCTCAAAAGGCTACAATGGCCAGAGCCAAGCGGATCCCAAGCCAAGAGCCAGTAGTTTCTCCTGGGTCTCCCACACGGGTGCAGGGTTCCAAGGCTTTGGGCCGTCCTTGACTGCTTTCCCAGGCCACAAGCAGGCAGCTGGATGGGAAGTGATGCAGCCAAGACACAAGCCAGTACCACATGGGATCCCAACTCTTGAAGGTGAATATTTAACCACTGAATTACCTTGCTGGAGCTTGTGGCTTTACACACACACACACACACCATTATTATCTCATGTGTCATCATTATTTGACTCTGTGAATGTAGTTCTTGGACTTTCTTCCCATGCCTTTGGGGCTACCAGGCTTTCCTTGCATGGCACCGCAGCCATGAAACAATCCCACCTTGCTCTGCCAAGTGCAAGTCTTCCCAACCAACCCGATATTGACAGTTTGCTTCCTTCTAGAACCAATATGTAGTCTATCATAGAAATTGAAATGCAAGTTTGAAAACGGATTACTCTACCAAATTGTACACGTGTACCCCAACCTTGATTGCATAAAGAAGCCCAGTAGGATGGTTCAAAATGACAGAGTGTCATAAGGATTTTCTCAGACGTGTCCTCAGATGTTCGGTTTTAGTTGAACAGGTGGCCATGTGTCTTAGGAATCCATTTCAGACACCACTGCCACCCCCATAGGACGGAGCGGCACTTCCCTGGGGAAACTGTGGGTTCCCTCTGATCCCCAGTCCCACAATGAGTCCAGATCCACCCTCCAATGCCCAAGTCATCGCCACTGAGGGAAAGGGGAGAAGCCAAGGGTCCCCGCGTCGGGCAGTGTCTCCTGGATTCTTCCAGAATGCGCGTCCCTCCCGCGCCTCTCCGGGAACAAGCTCCAGCCAGCTGAGGCCCTTCCGGGAGAGTCTCTTCCACTCGAGGCCGCCGGCCGCCCGGACCCGGGACACCCCGACACACGCCCCAACACGCACCGCGACCCGGGACACCCCGACACACGCCCCAACACGCACCGCGACCCGGGACACCCCGACACACACCCCGACACACGCCCCGACCCAGCATACCCCGACCCGGGACACCCCCATGCCCCGGACACCAGCGCCTTCGGTGAGGGGCGGGGCCCACCGGAAGTTCCCGCGTCGCGGCGAGCATGACGCTTCCGGCTCCGGTGGCATGGCCGACTTCTCTTGTGAAGAGTCCGCTGCTGCCGTAGGCGGGAAGAGGCAGCAGTTCGGGAGCCGGTTCTTGAAGGATCCGGCGCGCGTCTTCCACCACAATGCCTGGTAACCGCTCCGCCCCTCGCCCAGCCTGCGTCCGGTTCCGCGGTCCCCGGCGCTGCGCTCCGCCGGCCGGGGTGTCAGACCGCTGAGCTGCCCGCCTGCTTCCCCCCAGGGACAATGTGGAGTGGTCGGAAGAGCAGGCTGCGGCGGCCGAGAGGAAGGTCCAGGAGAACAGTGCCCTGCGCGTGTGCCGAGAGAAGCAAGGTGCAGCGGCGACCACGGGGCTTCGGGAACGGAACGCGAGGGAGGGGACGGGCCTGGAGGGCGGGGGCAGCACCTCCAGACGTCTTAGGCGTAGAGGGTACTGAGACTGTGTGGGTCAGGGGTGCTTTTCCTGGTTGTCTGGGCGAGGGTAACTGGCCAGTGACTTTCCGAAGGTGGTTGTGTTTGTAATTATGTTCACGAGTCTCGTCGATCCGACCAGCCTCGGGTGGCCGTGGGATCACGTGATCATCTTAGACGTTATCCTTTCTTTTATTTCAAGAAACATTTCTTTATTTACAAAGGCAGAGTTACAGAAAGAGAGAATAACAGGCCTTCCATCCAGGCACATGAGCACTGGCCAGGCGCCCTTGCACGGTGCCAGCACTGCAGGTGGCAGCGGAGCCCGCTAAGCCTCAGCGTGTGGCGTGGCCCCTGGAGGCCGTTCTTACCAACTGGTCTACACTTAAGAGGCTGCCTTTGGAGCTGGAATCCAGGGGTCAGATTCTAAACCTTGTTGGGAGAGGGGGTTAGTGACTGGTAATTGGGTGTACTCCCTTATGAAAGATGAGTGAAGGAAAAATGGAGATAAGTTTGGGCAGAGGTAAAGACGACCTCCCCCCCCAGGTGAGTGATTTTCCTGGGGCGTGCACCTGGTCTGGAGCCGGCGTTAAGGGAGAGGTGGTACAGCATCCCATATGGGTGCCAGTTGAGGCCCTGTCTTTTCCATTTCCCAGTCCAGCTCCCCTCGCCCACCGACATCCCGACAAGGGGCTGATGGGAGGTGAGGACAGGTGGCAGGACTGAATTACCTCTGAGGGCCTTCAGCTCGAAGGCTGGTTCTGCAGAAGTGACATTGCAGAATCGGGTATCTGGCATTCACTTCTTCAGATCTGACTCCTTGTTTCTTAAACATTTACAGAAGATTATGAGCTCAATGCCCACAAGTACTGGAACGACTTCTACAAAATCCATGAAAACGGGTTTTTCAAGGATAGACACTGGCTCTTCACTGAGTTCCCCGAGCTGGCCCCTGACCAGAACACATGTCGCCCAAGTGAGGCGCCCGAGCGTGCAGGCAGCGAGGCCGCAGCTGCTCTGACGGCAGCAGTGCAGCACACGGGCTCTGTGGGCAGCTTGGGACCCGGAACGGAGCTGCCTGCTGGGGTGGACGAGGCGGCTCAGCAGCTCAGCCTCCTGCACGTCGGTGCCCACGAGTTCCCTGGCTGCTCCGCCACCTACCGCATACTCGAGGTAATCCGGCTGGTTGAGGTAGTGAAGCCGTCATGCTGGGGCACCTGGGGGGGCACAGAAAGGCTCACCACGGACGCGTTTTCTAGCTGATGGTGCTGTCTGGATTGGCTTGTTCTCGCCTCTGTTTCTGATCTAATGAAAAGCCCTACATGCAAACGTAGGAATACCATATCCCAGTGGGAAGTTTTAGGGCCAGGCTTTGCACGGCATGCATCACTGTCTCATACAGGGGAAAGGACTCAGGATGATCGCTGGGGAAAAGTCCTGGGTGACAACAAGACTTGGGACTTCCTTTTTAATGCATTAAGGTGAGCTGTGCTAGTTGTGCTACATCTCAGACCTGGGAATTTTTTTTTTTCATTTATTTATTTTTATTGGAAAAGTAGAGTTAGACAAAGAGAGACAGAAAGATCTTTCAGCCACTGGTTCACCTCCCAGATGGCTGTAATTGCCAGAGTTGGGCCAGTCTGAAGCCAGGAGCTTCTTCTAGGTCTCCCACATGGGTGCAGGGTCCCAAGGGCTTGGGCCAGTCCCTACTGCTTTCCCACACCATGAGCAAGGTGGGAGCTGTCGTATAATTTACTGATGAGGACTGAGTCCTCCACTGGAAGGTGACTCCGGAGCCCTGGGGTGACCCAGTGGTGTGCTGTGGAATGAGCACCCCAGCACCACCACCCCTAACAGTGAGACATAAGAGGACTGTGAAAATATAGAAACAGGAACAGTACCTGGCACACAGCACCGCCGCAAGTGGCCAAGATTTTCTTGAGAGGGTCCCTGACCTCAGGGACCTCACAGCAGAGGTAGACTCTTAACTATGTCCTACCTGTTGATTCACTCCCCAAATGCCTGCACTGGCCAAGGCTAGGCTGGGACCAATGCTGGGAACCAGATTTCAATGCAGATCTCCTGATGGGTGGCAAGAACCAGTCCCTTGGCCCATCACAGCCATCTCCTGGGGTGTGCCTCAGTGGGAATGCTTGAGTCCGAAGCCCAGGACTGGAATCAAGCCCAGGGTTCCCAGTGTGGGCACAGGTACTTAACTGTTGGACTGAACATGCTGTGATTATAGATGGTTTTAAGAGAATGGGGCCTAGTGCCATAGCCTAGTGGCTCAGGTCCTCACTTTGTATGCACCAGGATCCCATATGGATACCTGTTAGTGTCCCGGCTGCTCCGCTTCCCTTCCAGCTTCCTGCTTGTGGTCTGGGAAAGCAGTCTAGGACAACCCAAAGCCTTGGGACCCTGCACCCGTGTGGGAGACCCTGAAGCTTCAGGCTCCTGGCTGTTTCAGCCATTTGGGGAGTGATGAAAATCGTTCCCATCACTCCCAGCGATGGAAAAGCTTCCTCTGCCTGTCCTTTTCTCTGTAAATTGGCTTTTCCAATAAAAATAAATAAATATTTAAAAAGAGAGATTGAGAAATCTTTGATCTGCTGGTTCGCTCCCCAAATGTCTGCAATGGCAGAATCTGGGTTAGACCAAAGCCAGGAGCTTGGACTTCATCTGCGTCTCCCACGTGGGTGCAGGAGCCCAAATACTTGAGCCATTTTCCGCTGGTTTCTTAGGCATATTAGCAGAAAAGTGGTTTGGGAGTGGAGCAGCTGGGACTTGAACCAGTGCTCCTCTGCATGCTGACGTCGCAGGTGGCAGCTTGGTGTGCACCACAGCACCTGCTCCGTGGTTGCTGCTTTTGTGTGACTTGGTTACTTTGGTCTGCTTGTCAGTTCAACCTGTTGAAGGGTTTTAGTGGAGCTCAGTCAGGAAGTATTTTATCCGGAATCAGGGCACCTGAGCCAGTGACAGCCAGGTTCCAGTTGTCCCCAGCTGTCCCTGTCAGGGTCCCTGAGGTCAGGGGTGCTGCTGGATTCCAGGATCTGTACCCTTGCCGACAGCTAGGCAAGGCTGCTCACCGTTAGGTACTGGTTACTTATCTGGCTGCAGGATGTTTGTTGAGCTTCAGAAAGTCCTGTGACTCATAGCTCGTCTCTGTCTGCAGGTCGGTTGTGGTGTGGGAAACACAGTCTTTCCGATTTTGCAAACTAACAAGTAAGTATGTTGTCAAGTCCAAGTGTTTGACAGTAAGGAAGAAAAGAGACGGATGTATTATTTTAGAAGCTCTTAGGGCATCACACCGTCACCAATGGTTTCCCTGAAACATGGGTTGCCAGGGATTTTGATTTTGTGTCAGTTAGCAGGGGAATTTTGTGGGATTTAATCCCGGTTCATGTCTTCCCCTAGTTGCTTCCCAGCTGCCCCAGGCTGCCACGTCCGCTCCCTGAGGAGCAGCCCGTGGCTGAACTGGCCTGGCCACTGTGGTGAAAGCAGGCTGATGTGCCCCGCTCAGACACCGCTGGCTCTGGATGGTGTGGGGTCGTCCCACCCCAACCGGACACCATCCAAATCTTCAGAGCCAGCTGGCTCCCCTGCAGTTCCCGCCGACGCTGTACCTGGAGTGTGTCCGATCCCACAGCGCTGCCCACTGCCCATCCAGGCCTCAGTGGCATGTGCTTGTAGCTCAGGGTTCCCACACCTCCAGTGGTCGAGAATCCATCTCCCTGGAGAGAGATCCGGGGACTCCTCGGTAGGGTGACTGGGCAAGGAGGTGAAACAAGCCCACAAAAGCTGATGGGCAGAGGAAGGGTGGAGAGACCTGCGGAACGTGCACCTTGACGTGGCTCTCCGTGTGCCCCGTGTTCCGAGACAGCTGCTCAGGCGTCACTGGAGGTGTGTCACTTCACATTAGAACAACCATAAGTCTGCCGATGTGCGCAGGCCCAGTTACAAGGCTGGCTGCAACTGCTTCTGTCCCACTGCGTGAGGGACCCTGGCAAGATGGCCTCGGAGATTTTATTTTAACAAAAGCAACTATTACAGGATTCCAAGTTACTATGCAACAAGTGGGCAGAGAACTACCCCCTGGCTGTCAGTGTGCGGGGCAGCCACGGAGGCTTGCTGCTGAGAGCAGGGGCCGGGAGGCCCTGGGTTGTGCCAGCTTGAGTGCCCGGCTTTGGCCTCGGGCCAGCCCTGGCTATCGGGGACCTTTCAAGTGTGGGCTAGAGGACAGGAGCTGCGTGGCGGCCTCCAAGCACTGGTACATAGATTAGCCACGTGGATGCAGCAGCTCCCCTGGCCTGCACCTCCCAGAGATTGTGGGGGACAGCGGAGCTGGGGCCCGGAGAAGTCCGAGGTCGACTTCGAGAATCAGCCCCACAGTGCAGAAGGGCCTTCTGCTGCCCCCCTCCCCCCGCACTTCTTACTCTCCCCTGTCCCCCCTCCTTACTCTCCCCTGTCCCCCTGCTTACTCTCCCGACCACCCCCACACCCTGGGTTGTTTTGCGTTAGGATGTCTTGTGGATAAATGTGCGGCACGTTTCCTAATGGAGTCCTGCTGGCAGCTGTGCGTTCGGTCGCTTTGTGCTAAGGCTCGCGTTGGACATTGGAGATAAGAAGCTCCAGCACAGAGCTTACTGTCGTCTTCATCCTTGTCTGCCCGCACCCGGACGTCTGCCACGTGGGGACCCTCGGGGATGTTTGGTGGGCGGGTTAAGAACCAATATGATCTTGGGTGGCACGCCACTTGTTGCGTGGTAGAGGCAGGTGGGCACTGGTGTGTTCCTGGCATGGAGAGAGGCCAGGGTAGCCCAGAGAGGTGACGCAGGAACTGTCCTGGTGCCAAGGCTTGACAAAGAAGGTGGGCCTTCTGCAGGTGGGGAAAGAACTGCGGATGTTGTATTGAAGCTCTCTGGTGTTTGATAAACGCACTACTGACTGTATCCATGGGACCAAAGGAAGGATTTAGATTTGAAAGGGTTTTTACTGAGTTGAAATGCAGTGTACCTGACAGGTATGGTTCCTTGCATGAATGGGACAAGGTGTTACACTGAGGGGACAGACGGCGGTCAGCGGCTAACTTGTGCTGCCTTTTTCTGCCCGTTTCAGTGACCCAGGGCTGTTTGTGTACTGCTGTGACTTTTCCTCCCGAGCTGTAGAGCTGGTCCGGGTAAGTACAGGGTCCGCAAATAAGGACTTCGAACCATGTTCCCCTTGGAAGAGGCTGTCCATCAGAATCCCCAGAGCAGCCTGGAGTCAGGGTCCAGGCCTGAATCTGCCACTTAGCACCTGCAGACTTTGGGCAGGTTTCCTGACTCGCACAGCTTGAATTGGAAGGATTGAGATGAGGTGACTCACTCAGGTTTCGTGGAGTTACGGTTGAGAGCAGTGTGCAAGGAGCTACAGCGCCTAGTGGGTCAGCTGAAGGCCAGGCCCAGGAAAGGACAGAACTTGGCCCCAAAGGGGTGTCAGGTGCGAGGCAAGCTGGCTCCACACCCAGCCCTCGCAGGTGCCCCGGCCCCCTGAGCAGTGTGTTTTTCCAGACAGAACATCCCTCTCGAGGCTTTTCCTGGTTTTTGCCTCCCCATGAGTGGGCCCTTCCCCAGCCCATCACACTCCCGGGGCTCCCTGGAGCCTCTCAGCTGACTGTTCTCGCCACAAAGATTCTGGAAGCATCTGGGGGACCTCAGCCAACATGTACATCTACTTACCCCCTTTGAGCTGCCCATGGTGCGGGATGACTGGGCTGCAGCTAGGGAGGGCGCCTGGTGCCACGCTGAGGGCTGGAGGGCACCTGCCCCTCCGAGAGCAGTCAGGTGACTGGCAAGCCATCACTAACTTCATCTTACAGCAAAGCAGAAGCTACATTTTTTCTTTTTTCCTTTTTATTTTGGTTTGGTTCAGTTTTTCTTTTTTTTTTATTTTTGCTTTGTTTTGATTTTAAGGATTATTTGTTTTTACTGGAAAGGCAGATTTACAGAGAAGGAGAGACAGAAAGATCTTCCACCCACTTGGTTCACTCCCCAAGTAACCGCAGTGGCTGGAACTGGGCGGATCCGAAGACAGGAGGCAGCGACTTCTTCCGGATCCCCCACACGGGTGCAGGGTCGTTCTCCACTGCCTTCCCAGGCCACAAGCAGGAACTGAAAGGGAAATGGAGCAGCCGGGACACAAGCTGGCACTCTTATGGAATCCTGGCGTGTGCAAGGCAAGGATTTGGCTGCTAGTCTACCACACCAGGCCCTAGAGCCTACATTTTCTGCACATGGAAAAGGTTTTCCTGGAGAGTTTACTGTGACCTGTGTAATCTGATGGTTCACAGTTGTTGTCACACATTCTGTCTCCCTCTGTAAAGGTTGTTTTTTCCCCTCTTGGGCACACCTTTTCCTGCCCGCTATAACACCATGCTTGAGAAGCCCAGACATGGCATCTTAGGAGTAGTGGGAGCTGGACTGTCCATCTTGAAAACACAGCCCTTGCCTGGCGTGCCTCCTCCCTCTCAGCCTGGAGTCCTCCCTGGGGAGCACGTGCTGTGACCACTGAGCCTGCCCCTGAGAGCTGTGGTGGCAGTGACCCAGAGCAAGGGCCTGTGTGTGGGGTCTTACCTGTGTGTGTTCCTGCCCCGCAGACACATCCGGAATACGATCCTTCTCGATGTTTTGTCTTCGTTCATGACCTGTGTGATGAAGGGCAGCATTACCCCGTGCCCGAGGCCAGTCTCGATGTCATCGTGCTCATATTTGTTCTCTCAGCGATTGTTCCAGACAAGTAAGCTTCACAGCTTTGGGGCCAGGCCTTGGTACTGCAGCTTGCCCCAGTCCATGTGTTCTGATGTGGGAAAGCTGCCCCTGCTCGGTGATGGGGGCTGCCCTGCAGTCACCCTCGATCTGTCTGTGGGCACACCTTCCATGCCAGCCTCTCACTGCCGCAGCTGGATCTTTGCCTGGTGGGAGGGCAATCTGTAGCGAATACATAGAGCAGTACTAAGTGCTGCCTCAGAAAAGCAAGTGTGTGCACAGGCCGTGTTGCCCCTGAAGCTTAGCTGCGGTGTTCTCTGCTTAGTGTTGTCTGGCAGAGTGCAGAACAGAATTCTGTGAACCAGATGTGTAGGAAAGCAAAGTCAGATGCTGTTCCCGGGAAGGTGCTGTGAAAGTCTCCTAGGCTTCAGGCAGTCCGCAGCCCTAGTCTACAGAAGCCCAGATAATTGGAAAGATTCAGGTACTGTCAGCTAGTTGTAGAGTCCCTAGTCAGCCAGGATGGGGCTTGGCATGTGCCAGGGGCCTGAATAGACCCTGAAACCAAGCAATTCGTTTCAAGTCTCAGAGAACACAGGAAAATGAAACTAATTAGTGTTAGCTCTCAAGGCCAGCAGGTGTAAGAGCCCGATCACGTGACTGAAAACAGGACATGAACTGAAAGCAGCTCCACAGCCTGGAGCCCCGAAGGTGCAGCCTTCTGCACCCCACCTTTCCTCTGGAATGGCGCCGAGGCCTCACCCGGCAGGGCTATGAAGAGGGTAAGGTGATAGGCCAGCCCGCGGTGCTTTCCTAACTGTGAACGTTAAAATGCTGTGAGCTGCAAGAACTGACACAGACCAGAAGAAAACAGTCTGCATTCATTATTCAGAATTTCAGTTGGCAGTGAAGTACTTTTGTAAGTCCATAGCATATCTATTCTGCAGCTATGAAAGCGTGAAACTTGCCACAACTTTGGAGAACCTGTGGGCAGGGAGCGCGGTGGGCAATGGAGTGCCCTACTCCTGCAGGCCTTGTCTACCTGCTGCCATGTCACCTGTGCCAAGTGTCCGTTCTTGAGGACAAATCCTGTGGCATACAGAAAGTGTAGTGGGTGGCAGGTGAGTCAACAGCTGTCCCCACTGAATGGGCAGGGCCTAGCTCGGCAGCCACGTGAGCCGGGACAGGAAGGGTGAGCCCAGGAGCAGGCAGCTTGGGTGGACAGTCCTCGGCAGGAGGCAGCTGGCGAGGGCTGAAGCAGAGGAGACAGGAGCCCTGTCCACCAAGAGGCTGATCTTCCTTCCCGCCTCCCCCACAGGATGCAGCAGGCCATCGGCCGCCTGGCCAGGCTCCTGAGGCCGGGCGGGATGATGCTTCTGCGAGACTACGGCCGCTACGACATGGCTCAGCTGCGCTTTAAGAAAGGTATTTCACCCCTGTGACCGAAGCAGTGGGGCTGCTGTTGCTGAGGCCCCAGAGCTCCACCTGCATGTATGAAGCCACTTGGCATGTGACAGGGGCACATGGTTGAAGACAAGAGGCCTGGTTAATCTAACTGTTGGGCTCTTGTAGATGGAGACAGTTGCTATTATAAGAGCTGTTTATAGAAGCACATTTGATTATGTTAATAATGTTCAAGTAGGAGATGGTTAAACATATATAAGAAAGGTAAAATACCAAGGATGAAATGAGAAGAGAGCTTTTGCAGTACATGTGATGAAGGGCTGGATATGTGCGACTCCCAGGGGCTGCCGGGAAAGTGATCAGGAGATCCGTGAGCCACCCAGAAACCAGGCAGCGAATAGTCGGTTCATGGCGTGGAAGAGCATATCACCCAGCTATTGAACAGAACTTCTACAGAATGAAAGTAGACTGTGGGGAACCCCAGTGCTGGCCAGTGCAGAGCAGAAGGCACCGGAGCCTTCTCCTGCGTCCCTGGGGAAAGGCATTGCTGTGGCCTGTGCCAGCCACCCTGCTGCTGAGCCCATCTGACCTCGTCAGGAACTGTCCAAGAACCAGTCCTTAGTAGACGTGTGAGCGTTTCTGATGACCAAGTCATACTGCACGGATGAGTATACATGTAACCAAGTCCATTTAATGTGTGAGCATACGTATACCCATGTCCACAGTAAACGTGTGGGCAGAATCAGAGACTGCGTGAGTGCCTGCAGGTGGGCGCGTGCGCCTCACCCGGCCGAGCCTGCCGGAGCTCCTGGCGGTTCCTCTTCTGTATTCTAGCAAGGAAAGCAGTGTGTCGGTGAGTCCGCGCACTGGACGCCATGTGTCACTGCCGTGAGAGTACATGCATGTGCACGTGGAGACCGGGGACTCGGCAGCAGCGTGAGAGCTCCGTCCACGAGGCAAGCAGTGTCTCAGCTGACCACGTGTGTGCATGCATGCGGAGTGACACAAAAACAGCGATACGGACTGTCCCGGGTGTCCCTACACAGCCCCCTTGCTGGTTTTTGGGTGTGGGTTTTGGGGGTTTTGCTTGTTTGGCAGCGCATACTGTTGATCTAATCCAAGGGAGTAGGGAAGAGAGTGAGCTGATTTGTTTCTTTAAAAAAAAATTTTTTTTTTTAATTTAAAAGAATTTATAGAGAGGAGAAACAGAGATCCTCCATCCACTGGTTCAGATCCCAAATGGCTCCTGTGCCTGGGGTTGTGCTGGGAAAGCCAGGGTCCTGGAGCTTCCTCTTAGTCTCCCATGCAGGTGCAGGACCCCAAGGACCTGAGCCATCTGGTTGCTTTCCCAGGCCGTAAGCAGGCAGCTGGATGGGAAGTGGGGCAGCTGGATGGGAAGTGGAGCAGCTGGGTCATGAACCAGCATCCACATGGTACGCCAGCATTTGCAGCTGCCGTGCCGACCCCAGGAGTCAATTCTGTGTGACAGTGGCTTTTGATTATTCCCAATAAGCTGCTCTTCTCCAAAGCAGTGTTCCAAGGAAGAAAAGTTTCAGGTTCCTGTCAAGGAGCAAGTGTGTCTAACAGGAATCTCTGCCTGAGAATTTGATGTTTCGTGGCCTGTCTGCTTAGTGATAAAGGGAAGAAATGTCTTAAAATGAGTCCATGTCTTGCCGTGTCGCTCTGCAGGCCAGTGTCTGTCTGGGAACTTCTACGTGAGAGGCGACGGCACCCGAGTTTACTTCTTCACGCAGGGTATGGCGATGCTCATCCTTACCGCCGTGGCTCCCCTCCAGGCAGCCTTGTCCTGACGTGCCCACCCGCCCTGGCTGCTGCGCACCTTCAGCCTCTGCCTTCCGCTCTCTGTCGTTTTGTCCAGAACGGACATCTGCCCATTTGCTAAGGCTCGTCTCCGGTCCAGCCCGACTTGCCTGGATGCTGGGTGTGGTCAAGTGTGCCCTGGGCAGGCTGGGCCATTTCCCCTGGCTTCCGCTTTGCCCAGAGATGCCCACCTCGGCTCCTTGTCCTATCCACAAACCTTGGGGACACTGCCTCCTCACAGACTGAGCCTCAGTCACAGCCACAACACATGCCCCTCAGAGCTATCGCAGTGAGCCGTGGCTCAGCAGGTGGGTGCCAGGGAGGTTGAGCTGGTTGGTTTTGCATCTCATTTATAGGCATTCCTAGAGCCCCAAAGGCTCATACTGGACTGAAGGGTCACAGTACCTCTGGCCTACAACTTGTACCTTCTTCCAGCTCCCTCATCATCAGCTGTCTCTTCGCTAAGTTCTGGAGTTCGAGGCCACCCTTCCCAGATGGGGCTCCCCATCCTAGAACCAGCCAGATGTTAACATGTGGCCTCTGCGTGCACCGCTGGGTGGTACTGTAGAATCCACTTGCAGCCCTGAGCATCTCACAGGGCCATGCTGCCACAGGAAGTGGCACGCAAGATGCCTGTCACTGGCGGGGCGTGACTGATGCATCTTCTCTTCTCTAAACTAGATGAGCTGGACGCTCTTTTCACTGCTGCTGGACTGGAGAAGGTTCAGAACTTGGTGGACCGGCGCCTGCAAGTGAATCGAGGGAAGCAGCTGATGATGTACCGGGTTTGGATTCAGTGCAAGTACCGCAAGCCTCTGCTGTCCCAACCCAGCTAAAGAGGCACCTGAGGACTGGCACAGAGGCTCAACTGGCTCATCCTTTGCCATATTGGCGCAGCAGGTCCCTGTCCCAGGGGCTGCACTTTCCATCCAGCTCCCTGCTTGTGGCCTGGGAAAGCATTCAAGGACAGCCAAAAGCCTTGGGACCCTGCACTCACTTGAGAGACCTAGAAGAAACTCCTGGCTCCCAACTTTGGGTTGGCTTAGCTCTGGCCATCGCGGTCACTTGAGGAGTGAACCAACAGATGGAACATCTTTTTCTGTCTCTCCTCTCTGTAAATCTGCCTTTCTAATAAAAGTGAGTTAAAATAAAAGAAGGCACCTGCTCCTGACACACTGCAACCCCGGTGTGCTGCAGGGCTTTCTGAAGGTCACGTCTGCCTCAAGAACTTGCGTGCCTGCCGCTCCTGTCACAAAGGCAGTGGTCCCAGGGGCTGCACTTTCCATCCAGCTCCCTGCTTGTGGCCTGGGAAAGCAGTAGAGGACGGCCCAAAACCTTGCATGCATGTGGGAGACTCAGAAGAAGCTTCTGACTCCTGGCTTCAGATTGGCGCAGCTCCAGCAGCTGCGGCCACTTGAGGAGGAGTGAATCAACAGACGGAAGTCTTCCTCTCTGTCTCTCCTCCTCTCTGCATATCTGACTTTAGAATAAAAATAAAACAAATCTTTTTAAAAAAAAAAAAGACAGGAAGAGGACTCTTCCCTCCACTGGTGTACTCCCCAGATGGCCAAAGCTGGGCGCTTGCCCTGTAGCCCATATAGTTGGCCATGTGTCGCTGCCTCTCCCCAGCCCCTGGCAGGGTGTTGGAGCCAATCTGGAACAGCAGGGACTCAAATGGGCACTGATGTTAGATGCTGGCATCACAGGCAGCGGCTTCATGCTCTGTGCTACGACACCAGCCCCTTTTCCGTCATCCTGCCAAGAGTTGAGCTCAGTATTTGTGGAGCACTTCAATATGCAATTTTCTCTCAAGTTCCTTGTGTGAAATTTCAAGATTTTCCAATTTTATGATTCATAACTAAACTTTTCTTCTTGAGAGCTAATACTTTTTAAAACTGTTCCCCTTGAATCTGTGTTGAAAGAACTCAAGTTGTCTCCTTGACCCTTAGATGAGTAAAGGCAGAGTGGTTTCTAGATGGTTGCATCAGCGAGTGCTGCTCCACGCCACAGCCGGGAGCTGCGCCTAGGCATCCAAGGACACCCGGGCCATCCACCACTGCCTGCCTGGACCTTAAAGTGGAGACGCTGGGACAGGAGCCAACATCGCAGGCTGTCACCTCCGGGGCCACAGCGCCAAGCCCGTGGTGGGCCGCATTCTGCTGTCACCTTCACGTATTTCCCACGTGATGAACCCTGGTTACAGAATATTTCTAAACTGTAATAAATAAGGGATTTCCAATTGTTATCTCATTCCTACATTTTGGATTTTCACTCGGGTGTTTATATAGTTATTTTCTACCACACATGTGACAACAGGGATGAGGCAAGCAATTTTTCTCCTTAAAACATAAGGATAAAATCCATAAAGAATATAACTTTTTTTTTTTTGAGATTTATTTTTATTGGAAAAGCAGCTCTGCAGAGAAAAGGAGGGTCAGAAAGGTCTTCATATGCTGGTTCAGTCCCCAAGTGGCCGCGAGAGCTGGAGCTGAGCCGATCCGAAGCCAGGAGCTTCTTTGGGTCTCTCATCTGAGTGGGTGCAGGGTCCCAAGCTTTGGACCGTGCTTGAGTGCTTTCCCTACACAGAGCTGGAGGGGAAGTGGAAGAGTCGGGACACGAACCAGCACCCATATGGGATCCAGGCACATGCAAGGTGAGGACTTTAGTCCCTAGACTATGGCAAGGGACCCAAAAAGTAGAACTTTTAAGATTCAAATGAATGCCTGCTTTTGCCTGAAAAATTTTTTTCCTGCGCCCAGCTCAATAGCCTATTGGCTCTTTGCCTTGCAACTGCTGGGATCCCATATGGGCTCCAGTTTGTATCCCAGCTGTTCCACTTCCCATAAACCTTTTTGTGGTCTGAGAAAGCAGTCGTGGATGGCCCAAAGCCTTGGGACCCTGCACCCATGTGGGAGACCTGAAAGAGGCGCCAGGCTCCTGGCTTCGGGTGGGCTCAGCTGCAGCTGTTGTGGCTCCTTGCAAAGTGAGTCGGTAGATGGAAGATGATCTCTGTCTCCTCCTCTCTATATATCTGCCTTTCCAATAAAAATAAATCTTAAAAAAAAAAATAGATTATGCTACTGTTGTGGCATGGTTTATTAAACCTTCAATTATTTATTTTCCCCTTCTTTAAGATTTATTTTTATTGGAAAGGCAGATCAGATTTACAGAGAAAGAAAAACAGAAAGATCTTCTATCTGCTGGTTCACTCCCCAGGAGGCCATGACGGCCAGAGCTGAACCAAAGCCAGGAACCTTCTCCCAGGCCCCAATATGGGTGCAGGGTCCCAAGGCCTTGGTCCATCCTTGTCTGCTTTCCCAGGGCGCAAGCAGGGAGCTGGAGGGGAAGCGGAGCAGCTGGGACACTGACACCCATGTGGGATCCCGGTGCTCGCAAGGGGAGGAGTTGGTCATTGAGCCATCATCGTGCTGGGCTAGGCAACCATACTGGCATACTGGTATAGTTAACACAAATTTGGCATCCAGCAGGCCCAGAATGCCCACCAGCTACTGGCTGCTCTTCTCCCAGCAGTGTAACACCTGCCTAGGTACAAGGCAAGCCGGGCATTTGCCTACAGATGGGCTTGCTCGACTTCTGATCCAGCTCCCTGACAATGACCCAGGAAGGCAGTGGAGGATGGCTCAAGTCCTTGGGCCCCTGTACTCACGTGGGAGACCCGGAAGTGGCTCCTGGCTTTGCTCCAGCTTGGCTCTGGCTAATGTGGCCAAATGGGGGGTGAACCAGCAGATGGAAGATCTCTCTGTAAATCTACCTTTCAAATAAAAAAATAAATAAAAATTCTTTTAGGGTATGTCCTCAGACTCCAACTTGGAACAGTTCTGGTTTGGTTTTATCACCTTGACATTTGAAGATTCAGGCTGTTCTGTAAACTAGCAAGCAAGGTTTCTTGACGATTCCTCTTGTTTTGACCCAGGCTGTGCGTTTCAGTGCTGGGTGAGGTGTGGTTTTGAATTCCCCTGTTAGTAGCGGTGGCACTTAGTTGGGGCGTGTCAGCTGGGTCCCTCCACTGTCACATCCCAATGACAGTATAGGGTAGTGCTCTGGGACCAGAAATACGTCATCCTCATCAAACTTTTACTCTCCACTATCAACACCTACCTACCCCTGCTTCTGGCTGAATTATACTGTAATGGTTGCAAAAGTGACTTTTTAAGAGATTTATTTATTTGGAAAAGAGAGAAACCCTTGAGTCGGTGAAGCACCTGGCTGCTGTGGCCTGGAATGTGGTTACTCACTGGGCCAGTCCCTTTGTGCTACCGATCTGCTGCCTGCACTGCCCTCCTCGCCTCTCTTGGGCACTGATGCCCACACCAAGCCACCGTTAACATCGCTCCCTAACACGGCCTCCTCGCCCCGCCCTGGGTCCCTGCCTGGATGTCATCCAAAGCAGGGGAGCAGGGAAGCTCCCGGGGATCACAGTTATTTCAGGCTGCAGCGCGTCACGTTTGCCGTCTGAAAGGAAGAACAGGTGTATGTGCCGAAGTGATCCACGGAAGGACGTCCTCTGGCATGTTGCAAGCATCGCGGAGCCCGGGGCATAGTTTGCGTTCCGTCTTCTGGCACCTGGCCTGGGCTTCGGGCTTAGGAAAGATGAGCCTTTTCCTGCCCTGGCTCCATTTCATTCCCTGCCATCTGCGAAGCTCCCTGACATTTTATCTGCCAACCAAAGAGTGGGCTGGGTAAGGGACTTCGCGTTATGTTTCAGCCCCCCGGGGACCAGTGGCGAACGGAGGACACGACGTGTTCACGGTGGGTACGCATCGGGCCTCAGTGCCTCTCCAGAGAGCATAGGCCATCCAGACCAGAGTCCAGTCCTATCGGTGTCTCTCGCGTCCTTAATGCAAGCACAGAGCTCCGAAGGCAGGAAGTGGTGTGACTTGAAAGAGAAATGTATCCGAAACTGACTCAACTTCCCAAGTGTCAGAAGCCTGCTAGGGGAAAAAAATTCCACTTTACTTGAAAAATGAGTGATCATTTGGGCCCAGTGTGGTAGACTAGTGGCTAAAATCCTCACCTTTAACACACCGGGATCCCATATGGGCGCTGGCTCTAATGTCAGTGGCCCCACTTTCCATCCAACTCCCTGCTTGTGGCCTGGGAAAGCAGTCAAGGATGATCCAAAGCCTTAGGACCCTGTACCTGCATGGGAGACCAAGAAGAAACTACTGGCTCTTGGCTTTGGATCCGCTTGGCTCTGGCCATTGTAGCCATTTGAAGGGAGGATCAGCAGATGGAAGATCTCTCTCCCCCTCTCTGTAAAAATAAATCTTTTAAAAATAAATGATAATTTGAGGCAGGTGCAGTGGCGTTACTGGGATTCAGCTGTGACCCTGAAGGCCGTACCCAGAGTCAAGGTGTAACCTGCTCGCTCTGAGACCGTGGGTGTCCTTCACCTGTGCACGTCACCTGGAGCATGGCCTCTACCAAAGCCAACAAGCCATGCTTTGCAGTGGGTCGGTCTGCCACCTGCCTGCATGTGACCCCATGCTCCTAGGTTTGAGTTGGACACAGTCGACTGCAGCGAGGCGTCCTGCTCTCAGAGAACCCATTACTGGCTTTCCTTAAAGGCCTTTCTTGAGAAGAGTAGGGCATTCTGTCTGGCTCAAAAGATGAGCTCCGGACAAACAGCGTCTTTGACGCTACACACAAAGGCCTGTTCTCTGCTCCGGGCCGCAGCTGCCGTTCCCAGAGCCCCAGGAGAGCCGGGGGCATGGAGGCGGTGCAGACCTGGGGTGGCTTCTGCAGCGGGGCTGCCGCCACGTTGGGGAAAGCCTGACGCTGGGTCTCCTAGTTAACCATTGGCCTGCTGTACCACGCTGTATCTAAGAGTCTCTGATCCATGGCCTGACCAGAGGGCACCACTGTCGGGCTGTGCCGCTCTGGAGTCCTGAGACGCGCTGGCCAGTAGCCTGGGACACAAATGAGGCCTCTTTCCCCTGATGGGAGCACCCTCTTGCATGCATTCATT